TTACATTAAACACAATTGAATTTAAAAAATGGCATACAGTGGTCTGATCAAAAGGAAAGCAGCCGCAATTAAGCCTCTTGATATGGTTGTCATATTGCTTGAGGTAATTAGAAATCCAAAAGAGATAAAGCTATGTAATTTATTGTGCTAGCTTCCATTTGTGTCACAACTCGAGGCTTTTGTGGGAAATGGAACTGTTCTGCAACCATTAAGGACAGCCTATGTAACCAAAAGGCTTCCAATAAATGTAAACTTTGATTTTCCTACCTTGTCACTGGACAATTTTTGGCAATTTGTTTAAAAAAACTGGGGCCTGAAATTAAAGTGTTTGATTCAGTATGATAGTATACCGTCACTATTTGGCCTTTTCTCCTGAACATTACAAATGTAGCCATTTGTCTTGCCTTTGTGGGATTGGGAAGGGGGCCATTTTTTAATATATACATATATTGCTTTAAAAAAGTAGAAATGGTAGCCTATAATAAATAAATGCTACCTTCAAGGAAGAAAGGCCCAGAGAAGACTTTTCATGCCTTAACAAAAGCTTGCAAGGAAGCAAGGTATCAAATTAACACATTTTGTGTTAAAGGCATTAAGGTATTTAAATACATAATTTTAATTCCTGTCATAACATGAATATGGATATAATAGGAACATCTGTTTAAAGCACAATTTCCCGTCATATCTTCCCTTTTCTATTTAACAGAGGGGGAAACATCATAATACATTTTTACCAAAGAAGGAACTGGTACATATATCACAAGAGAGGTTGGGTTCAGACAGTTGTTATCCATTTGAGGAGGAGAAGGTCTTAAATACTAATCAAAATAATGGTTGAATGGGGGGGGGGGCTTATCATGATCAATACCATTTTTACAAGAGACACTTTATAATCCTTGTTTGAATTTTAAACATCTGCCAGATAATGTCAAGTTGACCCATGTCAAGAGCATTCTGGTGAAAGTATCCTTCTGTTCTTGGAAATACCACACTTAGCTTTTCAGTTAGGGGAGAAACCATTCCTCTCTTCTTCTCCCCTGGAAGATGCTGCTTCCCCCCACCCCCCATCTCCTTACACATAGCTGAGATGCACTACTGTGTTCACCCTGACCTACCTTTCTGGTGGTAGAGGTGCATCTGTTATCATAAAAGCAAGCAAGCAGAATGATGGACACTGGATATTCTTTTATCGATCACTCTTCTCCAAGCCCAGTAACCTGTATAAGCCTCCATCCTACCTTCAACAGCACAAAGAGCCAGAACAAATGCAGTAATAAACATTTTCCTAAACAGCTCAATTCTTCCACTAGCTAAAAGGCAACGCTCACAAAATGCACACACAGGGTATAGAATAAAACTGCTAACTTGTGAATCTCATTTTATATCATCCACTCACTTTCTACCAAAAAGCAAACAAACAGACAAAACAACCATATCCTTGTTGGATTTCAAATGAGAAAGACCTGAATAATTAACATCCTGGTCTCCACAAGGACATCTCACACAAGACAGATGCACTCTTCCTGTTTCTTCTTATTTCTAAGATGTACAGCTTCATTTCTGAGGCTTCCAGCTGCATCAATAGCAACTTAAAACAGACAGTTCATTCTTAAATTGCCCTTGCTTTTTGGCTTTCAGGAAGTTACTTGCAAACTTTCTAGAACTACCTACATGTATAACCTCTTAAAGTCATGAGATTGTCAGTTTTGTTTTAATTTTTTCCAAATTATTCCAGACACGGATCCCTGCCCTGCTCCTCACCTATAGCACACTAGGCCAATCTAAACATTGTAACCCAAGTTCCCTTTTCTGCTCAGTCACCTCTAGAGTATACCACACTTGGTCCTGATGTGCACCATTCCATATTTGCTTATATTTCGTTACCTATTCTTCTCATTAAGAGAAATTCTTTGGAATCTCCTTGCTGGCCCTTGTTTGTTTTAATGTTGCTAAGTTATTTGGTGAGATCATAAATTCTGTACACATTATTGCTCACTCTCAACTCTAGACACTGTATTTTATCAATACATTAAAAATGCTAGCCCCAAGAATATCATTTGGAAAACCCTATTTTCATGCCTTCATTGTGAAAACTATCCATATACTCCTATTCTTCCTTTCAGTTCTTTAATTACCATACTTATCCCCAAAGAAGATGACATTACATTTAAGAAGACCTTCCTTATTTGAAATTCTCAAATCCATTCCGAGCAAGCCAATGGCAGAGTTCTTTTTAAATTCCACAGCACTTATGGCAGTTGTCCAGTCCCTGGAGAGAACCAGATAAGGAAAGGCTATATTTTCTCAATTATTGTGAGCATCAAACTGGGGAAAGTTGGCTTAAACTTGTGAATCTGTTTAATTTTCATGTTATCAAAGAGCAGTTTCCCACAGTGCTTTGTTTGTAGATTTAATTACTTGGGAAGCTCTATCATTAGTCTTCATGTGCTAACTTTTCTCTTTGGGAAAGCTTTTATTCAAAAGACTAAGCATTAGGAAAGATTGACTGGACAAGAAAAAATAACTAATTTAATCTAAGTTTCTTTGGACCAGGGATTCTCATACAGTAGACTGTTAAATCTTGGACTTGAAATATTACAAAATAATTTGATCTATCTTACTACAATACCATAACAAATTGCTTACTTTGTGAATATCACTGAAACTCAGCCAATGTTGGGTTTCATCCATGTTAAATTCTAATACTGGTGTTCTTCTGATAATGTAAAATACTGCCAAAACTACAGTCTGTTTTCATTCCTGATTGCAACTCATAAAGTAAAAATTTTAGACAGGGTCTCAGCCAAATGGGGATTTTAATCTCTGGAGTATTTCAGTAATCTGCCTCAGGTAAGAGGAAACTCTTCTTACTCACAATAATAGTGGTAATGATTTTACAATTAAGCTAGGCTTCTGCTGTATCTCTTTGCTCACATAAATCAGCATTCATATGAGGAAGTTGATCTTAATACTTTTTATATATGAGTATCTTAAAACAATACTAACTGTAGGACAGAGAGAAAGCTAAAGGTCAGTTTATAAAAGAAACTTTTTAAAAAGAGTTGGTCAGTGTTTTCATCTTACATTATATATATCTATAACTAGGCTTATTATCTCTACATTTATTTATTTGATTTATATTTTGCCTTTATTTTGTACAACTGAGGGAGACATAAATCTATCTCTATATATCTATATAATATCTTTTCAGCTATGAGTTCTAAAAAGATATGGGGAGGAAAAATAAAACTACTACTGCAAGTAGTGCAGACTAATATTAGCAGCTTTGTAAAGTTTGCAGATTACAAGTGACATCTGGGTAAAAATGGCATTATTGTTCCAAATCTTAGAATTATAGACTCCAATCTTTTTGCATGCCAGTATACTAGGTTGTGGAAAGGAATTAGCTACTCCTTTCAGCTGCACCTCCTCTGAGTGTCAGATTTCACAAGCTTGGTCAATGTAACTTATTAATAGAACCTATTGTAGAGGGAATAGGGAATGGCCTTGAAGGGCAGGACGAAGAGCTGCTACCAAGGCGATGGTCAGATAAGTGGGGCGTGAGCCTGGGCCAAGAAAATAGCTTCAGAAAATATCTCAGACCAGCTTTTCCCTAGTCTACATGAAGATAAAGGGAGGGAGAGGGAAGCACATTCAGACTTGCACATTCTGTTACTATAGCTGTTACAATAAAAGTTGTCCTGACCTATATGACATTGGTTTCTTAATCTGGTCTACCTTGTTGAGCTGACACCTATACTTCATATGTTGAAAGTCATTTAAAAAAATAAGATCCATTCTTCTTGTTCTGGATCTGATTGAAAGGTCCTTCTAGCCAATATTCTATTCTCATAGTGGTCAGTGAATTGCCAAGAGAAACTCACATGCAGGAGATGAATGCAGCAACACTATCCCACTTACATTGGTCAAAACTGATATTTCCATTTCTAGAGGTAACATAGAGCTGTCATGGATAGGAGATAGTAATAATTTCATCCTCCAAGAATTTGTTTAACCTCTCCCTTTTAAAAGCTATACAACTTGGCAGACATTGCTGCATCTTGCAGGAATCAGATTTCACAAAGAGCTATGCACTAGATGAAAGAGTATCTTTTATTTTGAAACCAATTGTATAGTTTTTCTAGATTCCTCAGTTTGGTATTTCTGGGTTTGTTTTTGTTTTTTGGAGGCTCTGATAACAAATGATGGGAAATACCTCTGACAGAGTCTCTGGGGAGACATTGACCCAGTAGACAATACTGAACTAAGTAATTGAAAATGTTATTTTATTTATTTCTATTGCTTTTAAAATAATAACAGAAAAAGAGAAAAACATGAACAAAACACAAAGATACATACATAAGTAATTGAAAATGTATAAAATGGTTTCCTATGTTCTGTGTTCTCGACTCCAGTGGCATTGTACAAGCACAAGACAAGAAGTTTAAACAGGGAACCTAGTTCCTCCAGACAGATCTGTGCACCATCTCCCCCAGATAACATGGTAGTTGGCTGTAATTCCAAAAGCTCTGCATTGACTGAGGAATGTACATTAAAATATAAGCTATGTTTGTGAATAAGAACAAAATTCTATCAATATAGCAACAGGGGAAGTTTCAATAGTAGTCTTATGGATTTCCCTCATCTGATGCCCTCTAATTATCTTGGCCTTCAATTCCCGTAATCTGCCAGCTAGCAAAAGATGGGTATGATGAAAGTTGAAATCCCAACACATCTGGAGGGGGCTATCATATGGCATAGGAACTGGAAAAATGTTTTTCAGTAATCATTTTCAGTCTAGTATTCTTGATGAGTCTTATATCCACAGTGGGTTTGAGGGAAGAGAGGATTTGGCATGCATTCTAAAGTCTGAAGTGTTGGAGGAGGAAACTTTCCAGTAACTGCCCTTTTTCTGCTGCTCCAGTAACAGCTGTCCCTTTAGAAAGTCACACATAATTTGGCATGTGTGGAAACTGACAGACTTTTTCTCTTCTTCCTAGGGTGTCTCCTCTGCAGAAGTCAGAAATAGTAGACATGGTAAAGAAGCATGTGAATGCCATCACTCTAGCCATTGGGGATGGTGCCAACGATGTTGGAATGATCCAGACGGCTCATGTTGGAGTGGGGATCAGTGGCAATGAAGGCATGCAGGCAACCAACTCCTCTGATTATGCGATAGCACAGGTTAGATGCCTACAAAGAAGCAGCTGCCAGATCCTGTTGAAAGGGTATTGGCTGCACAGACAGCATAAATACTTCACTACTGATCTAGAGGCCAAGCAAATGTTCTTTTTTCTTTCCTTTGAGGATGCTGGCTTAATGCAGAGACCCTGTAAATGTGTGCAATCCCTTCCATTGCACTGGGCCAGGAGCAGTTGCAACGTAAATGCTTATGTTTCTTTTTACTCAGCATTGTAGTTCTACCATATTTCCAGTAGTCTGAAAGATGGCTCAGTCGTTGCAGCTGTCAAAATAATAGCTGTTCCTCCTCCTCCTTGCTCTTACTTTTGCTCTTGAAATGAACACCTGTTCAAAACCTGTTCCTGTTCTACAATAGGGACTGTCATTCCATTTTTATTTCCGTGACCTCAGGAAAAAGCTATGAAAGAAGTTTGATCATTTATATTTTGGCTTCTTACTTCTGGTCAGGAGTGATTAGTGACAGGTTTCTATGTTGGTCTTTGACTGTAATAAAGATTTGATTTGAGTGATAGGTTTCAGGGATGGGCAAGAATCATTGACTTTTTCGGTTGTCCTGATTCTGAAATTCTCTGACGATGTATTAGATTTTCTGATACCGTGGCACTTTTTATTTATTATATAATAAATAATGAGGATAAGTGTAATAACCACTTATCCTCATATATATGTTCAGATATAACCATCATATCCATCATTCTGAGCTTTAGCTACTGTAGTATTTAATATTCATTATTTAATGTAATGTTTATTATTTAATATTTATTAATTACATCAGCCCTGGCAGTAGCAACCTTGCCTTCTGAAGAGAAACATACAGTCTTCTTTTTTAAACAGTTATGCATCAGTGATGGGCATTACCCAAGCCCCAATTCTGTCATTAACATATTAGTACTTACTAAAGTTCTGAGTTTTAGAGTACCAAAAAGCATAGTGTGATTAGAGAAACACAGTTATATGGGGGTCCTTATCAATCCCTTGGAATTTATCCAGAGGTTATCAGCAAAAGACCCCACCATCACCTCTTTTTTATCTCTGGGATTGAAGGAATGGCGGTTAAAAGTAAATCAGGACCAGTTTACAGTACTGCAGTGTGTGGCCTCCTAGATAATGTTGAACTCCCACTCCTATAATTTCTTTCTGTTGGCAGCGCTGGCTAAAACTGACATAGTGCAGATTTTAAAAAGGCAAAGCAAATACAACCTTCCAGGCAATCTCCAAACCCAACAGCAGTGAGATAGACAGGAATCCCTTTTTGGCATATTCTTTTTCCTGATTTATGCATCATCGTGAAGGGAGTTTGGTTTGAAAACAGGAAACATGATGCCACAATATTAATTAGAGCAGCCTTCCCAGGATTTCAGCCAGCAATCCAGGTGTGAACTCTGGGAGCTGCAATCCCAATTTATTTTGAGGGCATCAGACTGGGGAAGGCTGAATTAGAGTGATACAGACACATTCAAAGGAGTGCTTCATGTCTTGTAGACCTGTCCAGCAACATCTGTAGTGTGAAGCCAGTATATTCATTGTGAAAGGTAACGCTTGCTGTTGTGCAAGAGTTAGCCTTCTGTTTCAAGAAAGGCTAGGTCTTAAGCTCGGAGTTCTCCAGAAGCTGAGACTCTTCAGTATTGCTTCAATTTAGGCTTCAGGATTAATTTCCTTCTTCCTTCTCCTCCAGAACAGATATGTCTAATCAGACATTTTTGACAAGACCCTGGAGCTCTTTTTCTGTTCCATTGTCTGGTCTGTTCCTATGGGTACTTGGCTCTTCAAGGTTCTTGGCAATGTACAGTTACCCTTGGAAGTCCATTCCCCTGTTCTTCCTTTGAGGAGATACCAGAATTCTTACCTGATTTTCTGATAGGTCTTGCTCTACCTATTCCTCGGGTAAGAGGACTGCAGATTCCAAATCTGAACGCTGATGCATCTAGGAATATTTATTTCTTTTAAACCAAATAATATCTCACATCCAGAGCTACTGATATGATGTAAAATATTTAAGAGTTCTTAGTAATTTTAGGAAAGTTTAAAGTATATGGTACAGAGACAACCCCTTCTGAACACATCTCTCATTTTCATTATGACACAGTCTACTGACTTACTTTTTTCAGACTCCCAAAATCAAATATAGACATTTTTGAGACAGTTCAAACTTTGGGTGTAGATTTTATTGTTTTCAAAAGGAGGAATTAATTATGTTCAAGGATCACCTTTATTATTCAACTGCTAATAGAAATTCTAAACGAATGAGTATTAGTCTAGTGTTTCCTGAAGAAGAGGCTAGACTATTTGCTTTGTCCTGCATCTCACATCCTGCATTTCATTGATGTAATACGTGTTGGCAGTCTTTGGGATGCCTGAGGCAAACCCTGGCTGACCGCCACCTTGCGGTCTGACCAGATGTTGATTGATCCTGTAAGGTGACAAGCACCATTGTTCTGATTCAGAATGAATCTCACTCTTTTTCCTCCTTTTCCAGGCACAGAACTGCAAAAATCTGTATTTTTGTGTGGAAATATGTAAGATGTGCACATATTTCTATATCAAAATGGAACACTGTTGCAGTGGAATCGTTTTCCTTCCTCTCAGAAAATGGATGCAGAGATGTCTTTAGAGTATATCCTTTTTGGATCTTACTTTCTCTTAAGCTCTGCCAAGGTCTAGGTTTGAGTGTTCTCCAGAATGGATGTTAAACTACTTGGTGTGTTACAATGCTTGGAAGTTTTTGGAATGCTTTTTGTTCCAAGGTTTTCCTTCTGAATGAGGAACAGTGCCTTGAGAGCCTAGAGATACAGGAAATAAAATGCTAGATTGGTATTGGGGGACCTGCATTCAAATTTCTGCCCAGTATAAAGTCCATTGAATTGCCTTGGCAAAATCATTGTCACTGAATTTAATCCTCAGTGCAGGAATATTATGAAGATGAAATGGTGGGAAATAAAACACTTCTATTTGACTCAGAATTCCTTGGAAGCATAGTAAGCCTCTGAATGGTATTAAAAATACAGTGGTACCTCGGGATACGAACGCCTCTGCTTACAAATTTTTCGGGTTACGACCAGCTCCGGCCCCAAAAATTTACCTCGATTTGCGAACCACCTCAAGTTACGAACCGGATCCGCGGCCATTTTCCCTCCCGTGACACGTGGTCCGCGGCCATTTTCCGCCCGAGGCGTGGTCCGCGGCCATTTTCCCCCCCTGAGACATGGTCCGTGGCCATTTTTCCCCCCCGACACATGGTCCACGGCCATTTCCCCCCCCTGACCTGTGGTCCGCGGCAATTTTTCCGCCCCTGACACGTGGTCCCCGGTCATTTTTCCGCCCCTGACACGTGGTCCCCGGTCATTTTTCCGCCCCTGACACGTGGTCCCCGGTCATTTTTCCGCCCCTGACACGTGGTCCCCGGTCATTTTTCCGCCCCTGACACGTGGTCCCCGGTCATTTTTCCGCCCCTGACACGTGGTCCCCGGTCATTTTTCCGCCCCTGACACGTGGTCCCCGGTCATTTTTCCGCCCCTGACACGTGGTCCCCGGTCATTTTTCCGCCCCTGACACGTGGTCCGCGGCCATTTTTCCACCCCTCACTCTCCCTCCAAGCAATAGCTGCCTCCCTGTCCTCCGCGCCAGAACGGATTAACGGTAATTACATTGAACCTTATGGGAAAATTTCCTTCGGGATGCAACCAATTCAGGGTGCGACCAGAGTCATGGAACAGATTAAATTCGTAACCCGAGGTTCCACTAAGAAATATTAATGAAATGGTCAATTTCTATGTAATCTGATGGAAACTTTCTTCAAGGTCAAAAATTACATTTGCTGAGTTATTCCCAGTAAGGTAGGAGTGAATAAAGAGAAGCCCATAGGTTATATATGATACCACCCCAACATCTGGCCCCCAATTTGTGAAGCCCACTAGCACCCTGGGACTGTGCCGCAGAAATTCAGCAGCAGATTGACTAATTTTGGACGGCACATTTTTTTTCCTTTTTGTTCTAGAATGGACATGGGAGTGTGAAGTCTCTGCAGGTAAACTGCTCCATTTTGGCAGATTCTAATTTAGTGTTTCTCAACCCTGGCACTTGAAGATGTGTGGACTTCAATTCCCAGAATTCCCTAGCCAGCATTGGGGAATTCTGGGAATTGAAGTCCACACATCTTCAAGTGCCAGGGTTCTTGGCACTGTTCTAACTGATTGCTAGGAACAGTAGGGGGAAAAAAAATATATATATACTTCCAAAGACAAAGAGCAGTTTGAACCAATTGCTTGAAAAATGGTGGGAGGAACTAGATAGCCATCTGCCGTAAGTGCATAAGCAGGACTGGATTCAGTGTCTCCTTTCAACTCTGTAATTCTCTGATTCTGATTTCCACCCCTCCAAATACTCTAAGCATTGTCAAAATCCAGCTCTTTTGCCACCTATACTTGCAGCAGAGCTTTAAGTAGTTTGTGGGAAGAGGGGTCATTGGAATATTTGCCTGTGATTTTGTGAATGTTTACTTGGGAATAAGTCCCACATAACACATATGCATTTAATATCTGAGTGCTGTTTTCAGCTGAGTGGGATGTCATCCGATTCCTTTTCCATACATATTGATTTTTGGATAATCATTTCAGCACAAGAATCCCTCTAGAACTGTCTTTTAAATATCCTTAATCACCGTCGTATGCCACTGCTCTTATTATTAAATTGTTATCCTGCCTTTATCGTTCTCTCTCTCTCTCTCTCTTTCGCTATCTATCTAAAGACGGAAAACACACCTAGTATTCCTGCCTCCCATTTTCCCCACAACAAGAACCCTGTGGGGTGAGTTGGACTTGGAGAGGGTGACTGACCCAAAGTCCCCCAGCTGGCTCTCATGGCTAAGGGAAGACTAGAACTCACAGTTTCCTAGTTTCTAGGCCAGCCCCTTCACCACTACACCAGACTGGGTGTCTTCCCAGGAAGTTCACAAAATTAAGAGAGCTTTAAGCCCATGCACAAAGAAGAAGCATTATGAGGAACTAAAATCATAAGAAGATAAAAACTAGTTGCATGGATTTTTATGAGGGCAGGTTTGCATTATGTATCTCCTGTGGCAATATAATCTTTTTTTCCAATTACATATGGCATGTAATTGAATCTTGACACAAGATCATGATACAATGTTCTGAATATCTGCGTAGAAATCTAAATGCTTAAGAAAAGTTATCTTGAACCACACCAAAGACCCATCTAGTCTAATTTCCCACCGTAGCCAATCATATCTTTATGAGAGATGCACATGGCAAGTAGGAATGGAAGAGCATCTTCTGCTCATGTTACTTACTTAGATTGGGACACATGCTGCTATCAGAACTAATAATTACTTAAAGCTGATAGCATGCCCCATGTTGAATATTTCAGGCTTGACCACTGTGGTGGATGCAAAAATTCAGAATAATTTATCCTAAATTAATTCCACCAAGCAATGATTGATCTAGAATCTAAATCTAAAGATGATTTAAGAGTTGACAGTAACTTGATGGTACATAATCAATCAATTTTTTTTTTTTCCCTACAGTTTTCCTACTTGGAGAAGCTGTTACTTGTCCATGGAGCCTGGAGTTACAATCGAGTGACAAAATGCATATTGTATTGCTTTTATAAGAATGTGGTTCTTTATATTATTGAGGTAGGTAACACTAGCAATATATGCCTTGTTTGTTTCTCTTCCTTCATTGGTTATAGCAACAGGAAATGTTTATTAAATGCCAGGCAACCGACTGCTTCAGATATTCAACCCTACATGCTGGCTGCTACAGTGCTGCCACATGAGTGGAATTCCACCCAGTAGCTCGTTCATGTGAGCAGCTCTTCAGAGGGCTCAGGTACCTGTCAGCTGTGTTGCTTAGGAGTTATGTTAAGCAAGGTTAAACTCTACCTAAGCCACAAACAGATTAAAGTCTAGAACTCTATCTATTTGTTATGTCTTGCCAAGTATCTTTGGCTTATCCAAAGCCTAATTTTGGCAGCATGGAGATATTGGCAACATGCATTCTTCCTTTGACCCTCTGCAAGTTCAGGAGCTTTAGGCTACATGAAAGCAGACCATGGCACTGTTCCTCCCCATAGTAACTGAGCAGAGAGGATACTTCTCTGGGAATGAGATGAGATTCTTTTGCAATGGGGCATGAGCAGAGAACCTTCCAAAGGGTGACTGGACCTTAATATCATTAAGGAAATATCAGAAGAGGCTTTTGTCCCTGGGGGGACAAAACAGATCTATGTTGTTAAATAGAGGTAGTCCTCGATTAGTGATCACAACTGGGACTGGCAACTCGGTCACTAAATAAAACTGCGACTGTGCTTATGAACTTACTTTGGCTTTCCTTTGCTTTACAGACCTGCAAAGGTCATAAATGTGAGGACTGGTCCTAAAGTTACATTTTATCACCATCGCAACTGCAAATGGTTGCTAAATAAGACAGTTGTTAAATGAGGACTACCTGTACTAAATACCTGTTTAGTAGATGCTTTTTATAAATTGAATCCTTTACGAATTATTGGTTTTGGAGAGGTAGCCATCTGCACAATGGGAGGGAGCTAATGAAATAATTATGAATTATTGGAGGATGAGGAAGGTGGGTGAAACCTTAATGAAATTTACAGACTGTATTTTCTGATTTTTCTTAATTTCAGCTAAATCATGGTAACTTCATAACTATTTAAAAACAGAACCTAACGGTGACAGGATTGGCCTCCTAATGGTATCACCAGTTATACATTTCAGTCCTCTTACTTCTATTGTTTGGAAGCATTTTGGGATAGTCTTTGCCTTAAGGCTTTTATATTTCATCAATTTTCTAAAACATGAAAGCTGGATACGCTGTTGTACAACTGAGGCGAGATATAGTATTTCAGTCCCTGGGAGATGGTCTGATCATAACTTCTACATGTATATAGACTATAACTGTGCTTTTCAGATTTATGCTTCAGGGTTCTTTTCTACTAAATACATTTTGAATAATGTGTAGTTTTGCATGCCATGATTCCAAATGCAGTTCCCGAGTCGCAATGGCCATAGGAATTGATGAAAGATGCAATTTTCAAATGTTTTCCTAGGTCTGTAGGCTTCTTGAGGGGAAATGCTGGCTTGGGCCATGTAGTTTATGGTTCTTTTCCATGTGATTTTAGCTCTTTTACATACCTTTAGCTTTTTCTCAGGTTCCTGCACATGCTTTGCATGACAAGTGGTCCCACATTTCTAATTCCTGGCATATACAAGTAGGAAAAAAAAATCAGCTAAATCTGCCCAAAATTTCATACAGCCTTTGCCAATCCAATAAAAAATATCCAGCTAGATCAGCCTCCTCCTAATGGCCATATCGGCTGGGAATGATGGGAATTGTAGTCAACACATCCAGTGAGCACTAGGTTGAACATGGCTTGACAAGGGAGACAAACAGGCTGGTTGATAGACAATAATCTTCTGTGCTGTTTTGTCGACCTAATCTTCCTCATTCAACCCGATGGGATTTCCTAGAACCTAAAAATGTGTATTACTGGCATTCACTGGACTGGAAGTTTAACGAAGTAGAATTTCTGCTGACTGATATGCATATGCATGAATATGTTTATGCAATCCATGGAAGTAAATAGAAAACCCCTTTTTTTCATACTGCATTTATAATTTATGATGAGTACCTGGGAGCTGGGCACAGGGGCCTATTCAGACGTTGCCATGCAGGTATCCCATGTCTTACCAAGGCTGTCTTTACTGATTTCATAAAAGCAGCATCAGAATGAAATGACCTAGCAGCTGTCTTGCCCCACCCATGACTAGAAATGTTAGAGACTGAATGGGGATCTTCTGCATGTGAAGTGTGTGCTCTACCACTGAGTTATCGCTCAGGGTTGCTTCACCATGAAAGTAACTCACTTACCTAGCCATGTTTTTCTACTTAACTATGCTGGAGGATTAAAAAGAGGCTTCTTCTTGACCAAGAAAAATTGGAATGAGTGCTGTGTGTAACTGAACCACAGAAGAATACCATTCTTAAGGTGATTCATGTCTTTTTGATTCTTCTTATAAAAGGGGAGATTGTTCGAACTGATGAAGCTTGAGGATAGCCAGGAGTTACAGAGGGTTACTTTTAAAAAGGAACAAGCTAGGGTTAAATAAACAATGAGGAAATGTCTGAGAGAAAGAAAAAAATCTGTGCCCTCTGCCCCCTCCTCCTGAGATCAGCAGGGTCATATTTCAACTTATTTCTCAAGCCATTAAAACATGTAAATATTTGCTCAAGAATGGCAACTGATGGCAACTCCTAAAATCATTTACAAGAACTGGATTTTTATGCAGATCAGCATATCTCTTCAAATACGCATTCAACTTTCCAGTGCCTTTTGAGGTTTTTTTTAATTATACTCTAATTGTACTTTTTTATAGTTCTTTATTAAAGGTCAGTGGACATTCAGTGTTCTTCCTTGATGATGATCACAGCCATAGAGTTCTGCAGATGGCATATTAAAGCCCACGATAAAGAATGCTTTTTTCCCCCTAAGAGAGAGTGGGAGAGACTCCAGAAGCAATATTCATAGCTCACTGAATTCAATAGCAAAATGCTTGCTGATTTTAATCGTTCTGAACTGCAAGCATCTTCCTCACAATCCTTGAGGATTAAAATGTTCTCTGGGGTAGAAAGATCACAAACAGGAGGAGGATTCTATATGCCTCCTTGAGCACCTGGATCAGGCAGAATAGGAACCCAACACATTCAAAAGATAAGTAATATTTACACTTTCTTATTGTTCTTTTTTCTTTCATTGTTTCTTATTTTGGGGTGCTTCTTATTCATTAGTTGAAGCTGATGGTTAAATGTCTATTTATATTGGAAATCACTTAGAGAGAGGTTTTATACTTAAAAGCAATCTAGAATATTTTAAATAAATAAAGCCAGCAGTCTACAGCACTTCCTGAAGTCCCCCTCCCCAGACAACATTTAACTTTCTCACAACTTATCAAGTGGATGGTTAACAATGAGAAAGACTCTTGAATGTTTGTAACAACTGCAGAATAAATTGTGCTGCTTTTCTTTTCCAAATTTACTGGGTTGAGGCAAGGAAAACTTCAGAGAACTAGTTAGAGAACTCTGATCCTAAAGAGAGATTTGGTCACAACTGTTGTCTTTTCATGTTTTGGACCAGAGGTGCAAAGCTTTTTTCCACCCCAGCCAATGGTTGTACTCCAAAAAGTAAGCAAAACTAGGACAACCTATTTTTATTTAATTGAAATATATTTAAAACTACACTACATTAAATAAATGCAATTAATAATACCCCTTTCCTATATATTTAATAGCTTGCCCCTTCTATCACTGTAAAGATGGCAATTTGATGAAAACTTTTGGAAGAACTCTGGGCTTGCAACCTAGGCTTTTAGAGGCCACCTACAGTCTGAGGACCTCAGATACAGGTAGTCCTCGCTTAACAACCACAATAGGGACTGGAAAATTGATTGTTAAACAGGGTGATCATTAAGCAAGTCACCACCTGACTGGACCCAATTTTACAACCATTTTTACGATGGTCATTAAGTGAATCACATGGTTGTTAAGTGAATCCAGCTTCCCCAATGGACGTTTTTTGCTGGAATTCACTTAATGACCACATCATTTGCTTAACAACCAAATGATTTGCTTAATGACCATGTGTTTCACTTTACAGTTGTCATAAAAGTCACAAATTGCGATCATGTGACTGTGGGGGTGGTGCGACGGTTTCCAGCTGTTGTAAGTGCGAATACAGGTTGTAAAGCGCTTTTTCCGAGGCTGTAGTAACTTTGAACTGTTGTTAAACAAATGGCCGTTAAGTGAGGACTACTTGTAGTACCCTTCTGTTTTAGATATTTAGACAGATAAACCTTGACACTAAGCTAAGGTTAATCTTTCTAAATATCTAAACAGAAGGGTAAAAAAGTCAAGAATCAAAATAGACTTTGGCTTTAATATAGTTAAAATTTGCTTTTATCTCAACTTGTGGTTGCTTCAGCCTTAGTCTGGGATAGATGGGATCTAGCCTGCTTACCATTAATTTGGCTTCTTACACTTCTGTCTCCAGCTAGTCTAGGGGAGAGTACCAAGCTGCCCTGGAAAACTATCAAAAGCTTTTAAGAGTTTGATCTAGCCCTAGGAAATGAATGTTAACTCTTACTTGCAGCCAAGCATTGGATTATGATTTGGTTGCAGGGTGCAAGAGCTAAATCAAGCAAGGCCAGTAGAAAAGGACCAGAGATCAGACCAGTCCATTATAATAACAAGCAGGGTATGGTAATAAAAGTCAAGATGGTGACTGCAGCAGTACCTACTAAGTCACTGGGCAAGACTGGCGGGATGGGTGACATAGTTTTGGCAGGAGCAAAAGGAGGCAGAGATCCATCCCATCTAATCACTAGGACAGAGGCCTTGGGACAAGCTCTATTGCCATGGAGAAACAGTGCAAGGAACAGTGAGAATCAGAGGCCGAGCTGGGGGTATGGAAAGGGGTGCTGTAATATCTGTCAGAGGTACCCACTGGACTCCTACTTTTCTGTATTCAAAGGAACGAAAGTAGTGGAACTATGACTGCAGTACCAGGGACCCACAGAATTAGCAGTGTGTGTGTTGGAGGGGGGGAAGAATCCACGCTTTTTCA